TTAGCTTCTTTTAGACCATATTATAATACAATACATTTGTACAATATTTTAAGAACATAATTCCTGAAAAGTGGGAAAAATGCTTTGTTTCAATAAAGAAGCGGTTAAGAAGAATTACGAGTCGCTCTAAAAAATCACCAGAATAGACAATGACCGTGATCGAATCACTAGTGAATTAAAAGTAGCAGTTCACACCTTCCTTACTTACCATTATTTAATGTAGGCTAAATATTTTTCCTTCGTGTCATACTCCGGTAAATATGTATATTAACTATCCTTTTTTGTATTTTGCTAGGTATAAACGAATAGCAGATATCATAATTAACAAAATTATTGAAAAGGTTCTTACCTTTATTGATTATAATTATTTGTCGGCTTTTCAAAATATTTCAAATTTGCAATATTACGTTATAAATAATTTTTTTTAATAATAAATCATTATTGTTATTTTATTTTTATTTTGTTATTAATTGTGTTAATTATTAGTTGTTAATTATCATTTCATTATTAGTATTATTTACGGGACTTCAGAAATGCACTTCTTTTTAAATATAAAGTCACGCAACGAAGGATGAAAAAGAAATTGAAATAGTACATATTTTAATGGAAGATGATTTCAATCGCCATCAGTCGTTTGTATTTACCACCAGCGATACAGTATAAACTTTACGAGCAAATTGAATGATTGTTTATTACCTCAAAATTGTGATGTACACGACTATACGCGGAATGACCCATGGCTAATTTCGTCGGGCCTCAATCCGGCGTGAGAAGATCTAATCTTAGTTCGATGAATCCAACGTCTAGCTAATTATAGTATCACCATATATGGCACACGTCTGACATATTACGTCGGATCAACGTCGACGTAGGTTGAGTACGTTACGTGGACTTCATTCACGATTTTTTGTAATCTCGTTCAGTATACTTGTTCGAGCATTGACGGCAGAAGTATTGACTGTCTGACGTCAATTTTTCGAACCGTTTGCTTTCATTGCACATGCAAGCTTCGTTTCATGAAATTACCGGCGCTGTTATTTTGAATTTCGGTTTACATTAGACTCGAAGGAACTTGCTTTTTAAAATGTTACACTTTATAGGCGTTGTGTGATCTTGAAATTTCAAAATCCCCTTTTGAAATCACTTCAGTCTATTTTAATTTTCATCAAATGAATTTTAATTATGTTTCTCATTGATATCTGTAATTACACGAAAACTAAGACAAATTAGAAAATTATTCGTTGGAAAAAGAATAAACGCTTTGACAGCTATATATTTTGTGGAATTTTTAACTCTTACAATCGTATAAATATGTACCATATTTTGTTTATATTCTCTACTATATATTTTCTAAAAAAAAATATCAAATTAAGCGGCAAATTTATTTTAACGAATACATAGATATGTAGAAAATAGAAATTTTACGAAATACTTAAAAAGAGTCATGAGTAAACTGAAAATTCATTTTCGTCATTTTAAATTTCACAAATTGCGAGAAATTATAAAATATGTAATTGAAAAACAAATTGGATTTCGTTCATAATATTTGTACTATAAAATTGATATTATGATGTAAAAAGAGGAGATTCAGTCATGATATTCAAAGATAAATTTAAAATTTCCCTCTGAATGTTAATATAAAGAGTGATATGATCTTATGAAAAAATCTAATATTTATTGCAATAACCTGAAAAACTTATATACTAAGGAGAAAGTGATTAACTAAAGAAAGAATCAGAAGTATTTTCAGTGTTGAAGTAATTGAAATCTTGTTAATAATTTGAAAATTTTACTACTGAGCAATACTAATGCTAACTCTTCCTCTACAGGGTTAATCACGAACAAACCGATATTTTCACAATCGCGTTCAGAATATTGTTCTAAATAAAAAACGTATTATTCCAAATAAAAAGTGTTATATTCATCACAATCGTGACTTTATTTTTAAGACATAAACCACAATATGTATATTCAAACTTAACTTGTCCTTAGGTGTTCATTTGAAAGAATAAAATTACATTTAATATTTACCAACACGTCCATTTCCACTGCAAAAACCGTAAACAAGCACCATATTGGGGTATTTTTCGAGTGAAAAATTTGTAACAATTTTACCAAACACCACTCGGTGTCGTACATTTAAAGAATGAATAGTGTAGATGATGTAGTATCATTTCTTTCATACGGACACTATCAGATAAGTCAACTTTCTTTATTATAAAACATAAATACTGTAGAAACTAGCACCTTATTATAAACATAAATATAAATTTCTTTATGCAACAGTCAGACGTATTAATAATTCGGACAATATCTCGATAATGAAACGGAATAAATTCATTCTTTGTACAATATTTTTCATTCGGAGCCAGCTCTAAAGTATCCAATGAAGTTTATCAGTTCATTTGCTTTTATATAAGATATAATATAAGATCGTCTTCTGGAATCAGTCTGCTATATTGAACTTTTTACAATCAAATTTTACTATTGATGGTTAATATCTTTGGTTACCTTAAAGGAATTAGTAATTAGAAAAATAACTAAAAGTTCTATTAATAGTTTATGGATATTAAATGTACTTATTATTCATTAATCCTTTAATTCGTTCTATTAAAAATGATAAATAAAGCTATTTACAAACAAACATGTTGGCTAAAATCGGAAAGCATTGAAATTAAAAATGTTTTATCTATTACTTTATTTAAGGACTATGATATATATGAGAGTAGGACTCTCCTTAAGGTATTTGCTAACAGAAATAGTTACAGACTTTTATATGATAAGTTATTAAGTTCATACGTATCTCTAAAATATATGAACCTGTACAATAATTAATTCAAATTTAGAGAAAAATAATAAGAACACATTCAATTTTCATTGAAACAATTTCATAATATTATGGTTGTTAATAAAATGGATGTCAAATCACATATAATGTTTGTTAAACATTTTCTTACAAGTATTAAATGTTGTTGTTTATTTAGAAATATAGGAGAAACAATATTCGATAATCAACATGTTTCTATACAACAGTAAGAAATATCTGTTTTTAAACAGTCACCTCATATGTCCAACTATAGGATCATTTACCTTCCTATTAAACATTTCTAACAGTTAATATCATTCATAACATACTTCCGGTTAGACTATGAACTCATGGTTTTTACCACTTTGCAAGTCGGCTTTCCCATTTGAATCACAATGCAAACATAGCGGTGTTTGCGTCCATATCGCGCAGAAGCTGTATGAGCTGACTTCTGACGGAAGTCAGAATCGTATCTACTTCCGATGCGTCTGCAAATGCTGTAAATGCAAGGCGACAGGTATCGTCAATGTTTCGAAGAAAATTGAAACATCTATAATCTTTAGAATTCACGTAATTCATGATGTCTATCCGATAGCGGCCATTCGTGTTTAAGTGAACACGTCATACCGATAATTTTGGATACCTATGTAGTTGTCCTGATGATGGAAACATTGTACAAAATTAGAAAATTTACGATGCAATTTTAGCTACATTGCTATTTCAACTGGGGAACAATGTTTCTATCTTCTAGTGCACATTGTGATCCAAAAAAAAAAACGAGAAAAAGAATTTCACTGCTTATTAAGCAATAATATTACATTATTGATTATCAAATGTCTGACAAGATCTTATGACAGACAAATATAAACAATATTTAATTAACAGATTATATTAATTGTAATATATTAGTGCTTAAAGTGTTGTGCAAATTGTAGTATATTAATGTTTAAGATGTTGTGTGAATTCTAGTATATTAGCGTTTATAGGATATATTGAAGCGAAGTTTGAAATTGACAATCCTGTCGTAAACTTTTGATTAATGTTATTTGGTACACTTCATGTACCAAAAGCCTATTAATAGATTTATCAGTACCAATTGTTGCTTAAAAATCGATTATCCAGACGAATGCAGTGGGACCATTAATGACTTAATATTCGAATGACTACAAGAAGAAAAATTTTAATTTTGCAAGGCTGCAAGTGGAAAATGAAACGACTAGATTCTGAATGATTACTTTCATAGCGTGCCGTATTACATACGTTTATTTTCATTACGACATTTAATAAACCTTTACTTTCTCATGTACAACGTTTTTCATATAGTAAAAATTAAAAAAAAATGGGGAGCCTATTATATTGTGGGGCTTATCGATTTCATCTTGCGAGTGATAAGTACTACCTTTATAAATTAACTTTATAAATTAATATAAATTATTATTAATTACGTTTATAAATTTATATGAACTAAATGTTACGAATCTTTAAAGTGAACTATACGGTTGATTCAAATAAATAAATATAATTAATTAAAATGTGTAACATTTAAATGTGTAACTCTGAACAGTTTGCAAATTTAAACAAATACAAACTTATTAAATATAATTGTAAGATCTTTTAAAATCAATTTTATTGCCACAAATCAAAATATAATAGTGTCCAATTTTGGCTTCATATGATATTGAGATCATACTACGGGAAATACGTCACAAGGCTCGGTTTGTAACTGATGATAAATTCACGATAACGTGAATGCGATTACAGGTCTCTTAACTCTTCGCGATATGACACACCTAATCGGTCGCATCATCGTGTCGATTACAGAATTGTAAATAGAGTGACGTATATCGCAATCGGCGCCATCCGTTTGTATCGAAACAATTATTTTCAAGACGCCATTGCCCTACAATGGCCACTATTCTGATTTAGTGAAATCGTGGAACATGTTTTCGAAAAATCTGCTTCCCGGAAGAAGGCAAACTCAGTCGCGACTCCGTCGGAACTCTGCTTAAACGGTAAAAACTTGGACAAAACATAAGCTGCCACCCCACCGTCCGAACGTGCTTGCGTACGTCTGTACGACTGTTTACACAATCCCATATATAAGCTGGAAGCATGAGAGTTTGACAATCTCAGTTCACGATCTCACGCCAATCGTTAACATCGTCTTTACTAGTGCCGTGAAGAAACCAAGAAAATGTTCGTAACACGTGGATACCTGTTGATCTTCATATTAGCTGTTGCATCCAGCGCCCCTAGAAGGCACACCAGATCAACTGTACCGACATGGCACTTACCGTGCGGTGTGGAGTTAGAAATAGAGATGGCTTCAACTTCAAACCTCGACGAAGAGGTTGGATCTCTCATAGAAAGCCTGAAGCTTCAACATGGATTGGCGATGAATGATTACTTGAACCGAGACTACGACTTCCTTTACGAGAGGGTACGGATCGGTGTTCACGAACACCAGTATATTCCCAACTGGATTCCGGGCGAGAAGGACGTGGGCATGATCAAGAGGCTAAAGAACGCCCAGCCGTTGACGGTAAGCCTTGTTGTATGCTTACATATAATCATCGACGAGTTTGACGGATCATTGCGTCGAAACTTCCGTAAAGACATAATGAAAGCTATGCAATGATCCTCTTTTATGGTGTTAATTTGCTGGTCATTAGCTGTCCCTCGCTTTCGTTGAGGTGGCGTCAGCGAATGCATCGGCCGTACGGTAACAGGTAAACCGCGGTTGGCGCGAATTTTCAGCAACGAATCAATTGACCGTTGGATGTTGCAATTAATTAACGTAACGTTAAATAACAAATTTTAATGAGACGGTAATTATTATAAAGTAGCAGGCAAGCAGAAGTGTGCACGGCAGTTCGAGATTTGCGCGCGCAACGCAAACCCCGCCGTACACCGCTTATGCTCGCCGGATCACGGGACTGCGTAATCGCCGCTTGTCTTCTGCCGTGATGCGTGCACGCTGATAACGCATCCGTGATAATGCTACGGGTACTCTCTGACGTTCACTTTATCTCTTTCGATGCTTTTTCATTCACTTTGGATCGCCACGTTGCGTTACTCAGACCGCGCGGTGCCTTTCACTGCTCCTAGACGCGCCACTCCTGCTTCATTCTAATTTATGTGCCAAAGTTCTGCCCCTTTTTACGACGCGGAATATAAGTATGTAATTTAAATAACGAGTGCAATAACGATTAGTAATATCAAAATGTTTTAATCGCCAGTACAGTAAATATTCGATATGTGCACCATTCTCGGGTCTGAACTGGTGCAGATATCGTACAGTTCCTACGTTGATTGATGTTTTGCCGAACGTAGAAAAGGACAGCGAGCGAAGGATACCGAATGTAAACAAACGGAAACATACTAAGGGATAATACTAATGAGTAAAACTTCTTTATTTTCCATTTTTTCGTTATCCAACTTTTCGTTATCCAACTTTTACTAA